ACCATCATCTTCTTCTTTTTTTCGTGTATTTATTATAAACAATTAATTTTATATTTAATATTATTTTATATAAGAGTTGTAAGGAGATGTGCTCCATTGTTTCCTCCTCCTTAGCTGGATTTTTCAGGGCCTTGGCTTGTTGTCTGTAACAAAGGAAAAGAACAAAACATTTGGAATCTTTACTCTTCTCGACAGCCAAAAAAAACTAAAGGATAGAGAAAAGAAAAAAGGACGGTCTGTTGCTAAGCTACCAAACGCTGTCCCTGTGAATGAAAATCCTCTGTTGTACGGAGATCCGTTGCCTGCCATAAATCATATAATTTTCCCCCTTTCAGGTCTTAAACGGAACCATAAGAAATATTATAAAATTAAATTATTGTGCTGTACTTTTCTGCTTTTAAGAATTCCCGTTTATATATATATATAAAACACTAGTTGCGGCACTTTACATGATCCAACCTTGGGTTTGAGTTTAAAGGATGGCCAGTATTTTCGGGTCAATCAAAATATTTTTTTAAGTAAATTAATTTAGATTTTGATTAAACTAATTAAATAACAGATTATCCCGAGTTTTTAATATAGTCACATATTAGATCAACACCATGTCTCTTATGAAATCAAGATTAAATCGGGTTTAATAGCTTTAGGTACATATGTGCTAACTAAGGGGGTTGATTATTAGAATCTTATCTTAAATCTGCATTTCAAATCAATTTTCAGGGCACAAGTTGTGGGTTGGCCACCCATTAGATCATTTCGTAAGAATGTCATGGCCGTCCAGAAGAACAACAACGATGAGGGTGAAAAGGCCAGCAGCAGTGGCACTACTGGTGCAGCTTTCGTTAAGGTTAGCATGGATGGTGCCCCGTATTTACGAAAAGTGGACTTGAAATTATACAAGAGCTACCGAGAACTCTCTGATGCTCTAGGCAAAATGTTCAGCTCCTTCACCATCGGTAATTGTTAAGATGTTAAATGTATATATAATTCCAATTAGCTAGATTATCAAAAAAAATTTAACACATAATTGTCTTGCACGTACATTTACCCTCCTCTTTCTTCTTGTTGTTGTTCTTTAAAGGTAACTGTGGCTCACAAGGAACCAAAGATTTCATGAATGAAAGCAAATTGATAGATCTTTTGAATAGTTCTGAGTATGTGCCAACTTATGAAGACAAGGATGGAGATTGGATGCTTGTAGGAGATGTTCCATGGGGGTAAGTTCTTGATCAATAATTTCTTTCATATGATCTTTAATCTCTCATTGCTGCATCAAGACAACATTATTTGATCACTGAAACTAATTATAAATAACTAATTTTGCAGAATGTTTGTCGATTCATGCAAGCGCTTGAGGATCATGAAAGGGTCTGAGGCCATTGGACTTGGTTAGTACAGACCTGCCAACACTACCATGCATCTATGAACTACATATACCTTGAGAATGGTATTTAGTAAGATTAACATGAACCTTTCTTGATCTTTCTAACATGAACCTTTCTTGATCTTTCTACTTGCAGCCCCAAGAGCTGTGGAGAAGTGCAAGAACAGAAGTTGAAGTGCCTTTTTCCCAAGTTAATATGATGGTCAGCTGATCCCAACTGTCCACAAAGAGAAGGAAACATGCAGGCTCATTGAGCTTTGAAGCCTGGAAGTCTCTGCACCATGATTTTTCTTTTTTCTTTTTACATATATATAGTAGTAAGTCCAAGTATAAGAGGAAATATATTTGAAGGGATTTGTTAATTATAGCTAGCTAGGGGCGTGAAGTAACAACAGAAGAAGAAGATGTGCTCGTAAAACTTCTTTTTATTCTGTATGATCATGTGTAATGTTTATTGTCTTGCTTAATAATGACCATAATTATTGTTTCTAGCTGGCTAGGTTGTCGAGAGCGTGTTCTGTCCCTCTCCCTCCATTTCTGTAATGGTGGCATGATGAGATTCTCTGCATGATATATTTGGATCATCATGAGGAAGAGTTTTTATGTGATTGGCTGAGGAGGAGATGAATAGGATCCATGAACAAAAGTGATAAGGATGAGGAGCAAGGGCATGTGCTTGTTGTTCGGGAATTTATGCCATCCATTATTTTTTGTTGGCATATTGCTCCCACTTTGAACCGCCGAAAGTCGCCTCTTAGACGAAGATGGGAAGAAATAACTTGGTATATTTTGTTACATAATGTTAAACAGCTTTATTTAAAAAAAAAGAACTTTTTTTTTTCCTTTTCGTCAATGTACTTCCACAAATTTAAAAATGTGTTCAGTTTGATTTATAATAGTTTTTATGTATTCATGTTAAAAATAAACATATTTTAATGTATTTTTTCTAAGCACTTTATACTACAGTATTAAACTCACTAAAGCTATATTATGAGTTTTTTAATTGGTTATTTATTTAACATAACATTATATTCTTAATTATCAAACAATCAGAAATTCAAATAGTTTTGTATTTATTATCTTTTAAAAGGACTTGTTTATGAGACAAATATTATCCTTTTGGCTTCCATTCCATGTGGATTTAGTAGAATTTACAGTGGCATACATCGAGCGATAATTCACAAACAAGATCATTGACATTGCTTTTAAAAAAAAAAAATTATATGTTTTGCCAACGTGTAATGATGCTAATAATTCAACGAGCCATGAAAAAATGTTAAAAGAAAGAAATTGAGACTTTGCCTTTTCTTAGAACTTGGAGTTGATGAAATTGGTTGGATTCATGTGTGTAAGATTTCCAACAAAGAACTAGGGATTTGTGAACTTGTCTTCTCCTCTTTAAAAATTCTTAAACCCATAATTAACTCCATGAGGGTACCATGTTCTCTTCTACCTCTTCCTTTTTTTTTTGTTACAAGAGTGGCCAAAGGTCCCAAGCACTCTTCTTCTATGTTGAAAGCATCGATCATGAATCTCTTCCTTTTGATCTCTCCAACATTAAAGTGGAGATTTGTAGGATTTCTCATCTCCTTTCAAAGATTCTTGAAGCCAATAACTTGAGGAATATGTATTGAAAAATCTTCCCATCTTTAGTAAGTGTCAATTTGTTTAAGCACAACTTCCCTGTCTCGGATCAGACAAAATCACCCAAATCCTTCGAAGATGTTCACATTTGCTTTTGTTTTGTGCTTTTAATAGAGAAAATCATCATATAAATACATTCTAGCTGCTACAATTAGCCAGTTAAGTAAATAACAATGCAACTACTTGTCCCTTCCGAAAAAAGAAAAAAGAAAAGGCAACCACTTGCTAATCTGCATGTTAGTTCATGTGCTTGTGTTCTTGTAATCTTGTTAGGACACTATGTTTAGCTTTGAAACTTATCTACTTCTTCCTTTTTGGCCGAAGGTGATGGAGTCGCTTTACAGATATCTGTTCTTTTATTTTAGATAATTGCCACGTCAATTAATGACATTGAAAATAAAAGAAAAGGAATAATAAGAATCGGAACTATTTAATCAATAAAATTTTATATAATATGATCTTAAAAATTATTTCAATTCAAAATCTTATAATATTAAATAACATCTTAAAATATAATTTATATTGTGTTTTTGATTCATAATTATTATTAGAAAAAATAATATTATAAGATTTAAATTGGTCACAGGATTTAATATAATGTTAAAGAATTATATCAGGCTTAAACTATTATATAATATTTAAATTTATGAGATTTAATTTCTATGGTTGGAATTTAAATTTCGATTAAGAAAAGGTTTCATAATTGACAAGTCCTAAAAATGTTACATAGCTATAGCAGTCCTTCAATTCGCTAAAAAAAGTGAAAAAGATCAAAAGTAATAATCAAAGCAGGGTTTGATTTTAACTTTAATTATCACAAGGACCGAACTGTATTTCCCAAGTAAATGCGAGAGCCTAGAGATTCCAACGAAGGACCAATTTGCAAATACAAACAAAACATTGCACTTGAAAGGGTGCTTGGCTGTCTGATCATGATTAGCTCCGATCTAGCCGATCCAAATCCATTTGATTGCATTTACCATGATTCTTGATCATGATGAGCATCTCCACTTTAGCCACAAGAAATTTTCGACCACATGATCATGCGCAAGCTAATCCCAAAAGGGTGTCATGATGTGGTTCTTGATTTATTTATATGCCTTAATTATCAAAAGAAGAAAAAACAAGAGAAAAGGAGGATAGATATGGAAGAAAGGTCAGGAAGGTGATGATTAATGGGAGATTATCTGAGTTTAGAGGATGATAACAACTTCATTATCATGTTGGGTACATGGAGAGATAATACCTACTTACTGGAGAAATACACACTGAGTGAGTGCTTTGGCTAAATATATATATATATAATCCGTGGAAGATCTTAGAGTAACATCTCAGAAGAGGTAGGAACATTATCATGTGTATATTCAACCTTGTTATAATTAGTGTCTGATATTCAATTTTATTCGTACCAAGAATACAAATGCAGTGTTTCATTACTGTTTCAAAGTAAAAAAGGTGTAGATAATGTAGACA